TTTTTAGTAGAGACCGGGTCTCGCTCTTGCTCAGGCTGGTTTCAGACTCCTGAGCTCAAGCAATCCACCCGCCTCGGCCTCCCAGAGTGCTAGGATTACAGGCGTGAGCCACCGCGCCCGGCCTGCTAGGATTATTTTTAGGCATGAGCTACCATGCCCAGCCTAGGATAAATTTTGTGAGACAACATACCAATAAGTTCTTGGACTGCAAAAAGTCTTTTTCAGTTTATTAAAAGCAGTTACAGATGTATTACATTATCCAAGAGGTTTCTCAACAGGCGAGAAGAATCAGCAAGTACATTATGTTAATTACAATAATTTAAAAAAACTTTGTATTTTCAAATTCATAATTCATCATTTATAATTCATGCTCAGCATAGCAAGCTTTGGAAATATACCAACAGTGGGGCAGTGGTTCCTCAGCTATTCTCGGTGAGAAGCGAGCTGAGTCCTGCGTGAACCCTGCCGCTCTCAGCCATAGCTCCTTTATCCCCGCTTCCTGCCCCAGTGGCGCTTCCCAGGAACAAGGAGGGACATGGCTTGGAACAAAGACAGGGAGGCTGTTCAAGGACAGGCCTTCTGAGATGTGAAGAGGGCAGTTTTATAGGGTGCTTTTTAAGGAATTGGCGGTCCTTGGCACTTCCTTGTGGCTCCTCTAGTGCTTTTCTTCTGTAAATGTAAGATAAGGTCCCAAGAGACTCAGACAGAAGGCAGAGCTGGATTACGTGGGTCCTCTCACACCGCAGTAAAGTGGAAATTGAAGAAAGTGGAAGGCTGGTCTGGGAACTCCGACTGTTACAGGGATGCCTTTTTGTTGTTCCACATGTCAGTTGGGGTGGAAGCCCTTCCTTCTCACCCTGGGGGTTGAGTGTTTAGACTGGGGAGATGGAGGTGCTGGGAGCAGAAGGGCCAGAGGGTGAGAATGTTCCTGCTGGTTCCTCCCCAGAGATGGGAGATGGTGAAGGACCAGCGTGCTGGGCAGAGTGATGGTCCTCAAAAGTGTCCACATCCTAATCCCTGGAACCTGTGAATGTGGTACCTGATATGACAAAAGGGACACTGCAGATGAGAGTAAGTTAAGGATCCTGAGATGGGAGAGGGAGGCAGAAAGGTCAGCTCCAGAGGAAGGAGAAGGACACAGCGGACCTTGCTGGAGGAGGGTCCCTGAGCCACAGAATGGGAGTGGCCTCTGCAAGTTGGAAAAGGCCAGGAAATGAGTTCTTCCCTGGAGCCCCCAGAAGGACCACAGCCCTGCAGACCACTTGACTTTAGCCAGTGAGACCTGTTTCAAACTTCTGACTTTCAGAACTGTAAGATAATAAATCTGGGGTTTTTTTGTAGAAACGGGGTCTTGCTGTTTTGCCCAGGCTAAAGTACAGTGGCTATTCACAGATGCAATCATAGCACACTACAGCCTCAAACTCCTAGGCAGAAGTGATCCTCCTGCCTCAGCCTCGCAAGTAGCTGGGTCTCCGGGGGTGCACCACTGTGCCCAGCTAACCCCAGGTTGTTTTAAGACTCTAGGTGGTGATGTGTTACAGCAGCCATAGGAACCTAATACAGGCAGTGAAAGGAGGTCTCTGAGAGTCTCTGATGGGTGCCCAGCCCCAATCAGACACTCACCCCATGGGGCGCTACACAGCCCTCCCCCTAAGGGGTGGGGAACCTTATTCAAAGGATTTGTTCTATAAAATTTGGATTCAGTCAAAAAGCTGCAGTCAAGCATCCAGAACTCCACATGTGGCCCCAAGGCCACAGATTCTCCACCCCTTAAGACGGACCTGCCTCCCACCACCCCACTTAGCCTGTCTGCCTTTAGCCTGGTTATCGTGTGGCCTGCTATGAATCGAGACAAGTGTTAGCTGCCTGAATGAAGGCCAGCCAGAGCTTGCAGGTGTGGAGAGGGGGTACATCTGGAAGTGGCTGCAGATTCTTGGTGATGCGTCTTTCAGAGGAAGAGCTGGGGGCCAGGCTGTAGGCTGGTCTGGGCACTGCTCTTTGATGACACATTTACTGAAAATGTGTGATTTGAACTTCCTGCTTTGAATTCTGGAACAGTGCGTTTTTCGAACCTCACTTTCCAGCTTCGGGGCATTTCTCGTTAATCTTTCATTCAGAGAAAGTGTTAACCTCATTGTGTTTTCTTTGTGGAGGGAAAGCTCCCTGTGAAGTATCTGCTTGGGGAGACTTGAGCATGTTTCTCCCAGGTCACTCCAAAGAGAGGGTTCTGATATTGGTGGTGTTCCCTGGGGAGTGTGTTATTTTATTATTTATAGTTCTCAAACTTTAATGTGCATAAGAGTCAGCTGGAAAGCTTGTTTAAAATGCAGATTTCCTGGTTTGGCCTAAGGCCTGGGAATCTGTAACAGGCACCCCAGTGATTGTGATGCTGGGGTGTGCTTGAGAAACGGGGCAACTCTGGTGGTGCCCAGAAGACAGCGCTCTTCCCACACGCCCTTTGGGCTTTGCATACCTGATGTGGGGTATTGGCGTGTGTGCACGTGTGTTTGTGGGGCTCACCAAACTCTCCCTTGGTACCAAACGTGGGGCTAATGTCGCGTGCTCACCAATTTAATCTTCACCACAGCCCTGTGGGTTTACTGTTATTGATCCCTTATTCCTGAAGTGGAAACTAAGGCTTGGACAGCTTAAATAACCCACCCAGAGTCAGACTCACTGACTGGGGGAGGGACTGGGATCCCAGTCCAGCCAGCCCCAGGGCCCAGTGGGACCTGCAGGTGGAAGGGCCGCCCCAAGCACCTCTTTTCTCGCTACTGACTGTGCCAGTAGGGCCATCTTTGTAGTCAAAGGTGGGGCTGGGAGCGGCATATGCCCAGGAGAACAGGTAATACCATTTCTGCACTTTGACAAAAACTGAGTGGTACAAATGACTTTGGTAATGTGCATTTCAATATTTCTGTAATTGATTTTTCTCTTTTGAACTCTCTCTCTCCCCACCTTCTCGTATTCTCAAGACCCTCTCTCCCAGCTGCCTGCCCCTCAACACCCCAGGATGCGTCTGTACAACGCCGAGCAGGTGCTGAGCTGGCAGCCGGTGGTCCTGAGCGGCAGCGCACGGCCAGTGGTCTACCGGGTGCAGTTTAAATAGTAAGCTGGGCTTTGCTGTTTGGGCCTTGCTGGGGGCTGTGGGGGAGCCCTAGGGAAGCCCAGGGCCAGCTGCTGGTGCCTGCTCTTCGCGGGGTTGTCATCAAACCCGGGGGAAGCAGGTATTTCTCTGGTACTTCTAAAACCTCCGGGACAGAGATTTCACAACCTCCCACTCATCCGAAGACTTAAACAACACGACAGTCAGAGAACTCTGCTGTCTAACCACACAGCTTCTTGCTTTGGTGAAAGTTTATTCTTTCACTGGTTTCAGGAGAAGGGTTGTAAAAAAAAAAAAGGCTTGGCCGGGCACGGTGGCTCACGCCTGTAATCCTAGCACTCTGGGAGGCCGAGGCGGGTGGATTGTTTGAGCTCAGAAGTTCGAGACCGGCCTGAGCAAGAGCGAGACCCCGTCTCTACTAAAAATAGAAAGAAATTAATTGGACAACTAAAAATATATAGAAAAAATTAGCCAGGCATGGTGGTGTGTGCCTGTAGTCCCAGCTACTTGGGAGGCTGAGGCAGGAGGATCGCTTGAGCCCAGGAGTTTGAGGTTGCTGTGAGCTAGGATGACACCATGGCATTCACTCTAGCCCGGGCAACAGAGCAAGACTCTGTCTCAAAAAATAAAAAAATAAAGGTACGTACTGAAGTATTTGCACGTGAAATGATGTGATGTCTGAGATTCATTCAAAATAATCGAGATAATCCAAAGAGCGGGAAGAGCAAGGACAAGATGTGTGGGCACAGAAGAAACAAAATTGGCCGTGAATTGATGGTTGATTAAGTTGAGTGATGAGCACATGAGCATTTGCTATGATCTTCTCTCTACTTTCTATGTGTTTGAAATTTTCCGTAATAAAAACGTTTTTAAAGAATACCAGTGGTTTGTGCTAGGTGCTGTGAGGGACAGAAACAGAGAAGACAGGGCAGTCCCTGCTGGCTGGTGATCTGCTGTGGACAAGCCATTTGTCCTCAGGTAGAGAACCAGCACCTGTGTGAGCTGAAAGAAACAATAGTTACTGCCACTGCCCAGAGGACAAGAGGTGGTAACAGAAGCAGAACATGTCGTGAAAGTGGGTCCAGCCAGCTGCTGCTCCCAGCCCAAGCTGAGCAGCGATGCTCTTGGTTAGTTACTGGCTGGGTGGGCTTCCCCACCCCCGCTTGTAAAGCTTGAGGCAGTGGGGATCTCACATCACACTGACCACTGTCCCTGCTTTTGGTGGCCTTAGAATCAGTGGCCAAGAGGATAGTTTACCGGGTGGAGGAATGAGATGGTGGCTGGAGGAGTCGGGCTTGGGCATCACACCAGCCTGGGTTTATATCCCCGTCCTGCCATTCACTGGCTGTCACTCTGGGCAAGAAATGACCCTGTGGGCTTCAGTTTCCTCATCTGAGAAACAGGGATAACCTTATACGGCTGTTACCCAGCTCTGAACATGCCCAGAAGCTGCCCCCTTAGGTTCTCTATCGTTCCGTTGAGCCGTTCTTCCTTTAGTGCTTGGAGAGAAGGCACATTGCTTCCTCCTCTAGAGGAGAGGCTTATCAGGTTGATATCAGAGTCCAGGCCTGGGGCTTTCTTAAGAAGGGCAGGGCTGTGAGCACTGTCCTTTCAGCTGTGTAGTGACTAGCTATGGCTGGTGTCCGTGCTCCCGAGCGGTAATGGACGTGCCCAGAGAACGTTCCTGCGGAGGTGAGAGTCCGTGGCTGGCCCCAGGCCCTGCAGGTACTTCTGCAGATCCTGTCACCTGGCTGGGGAAAGGGAAGCTGGAGAACGAGTGTGCCCACATCTGTGAGCAACCTTGAATGAAAGAGCTTTTTGTCACTAGCACCAATCTGTGAACATCACTCTGGCCGGTGGTGGGCTAGACCCGGCCCTGCCTTTGCCGCTGGGCATGGTGTGGGCTCGGCTTCTCCACCAGAACAAGCGAGAGCAGAGGGCATTGCATATAGAAATAAAAATCTGTATGTGTGTATATACCGTGTATATTCTTTTGTATTATAGTATGTATGTGTGTGTGTGTCCATATGTACATATATAGTTTTCGGTTTGTAATTCTTTTTCAGTTACTGTTGGGCCTCCAAAAAACATTCGGTTGACCCCAGGAGAAGGCTCCCTCATCATCAGCCTCTCCCCTCCCTTTGATGTCGATACCGCCACGGCCTCTTTCTGGTATTACGTCCATTACTGGGAAAAAGCAGGAATCCAACAGGCAAGAGCGTATTTCTTTGTTTTGCTTTTTTCTTTGGCATTTCTGGTCTAGCAAAAGAAAGAAAACTTTACCATGGGCAAGGAGAACAGGGTGTCCCAGTATCTCCTTGGAGGCTGAGCCCTGAGCCTGCTCTAATCCTCCTCTGCAAGACCCGTTTTTCTACTCCCTGTGCTGAGACTTCCCTCCCCAGATCCATCTGAAGGGCCCCTCTTTGATGTCTCATTGTTCCTGTTGTTCGGGGTCCGGACTTTGCTGGCACGTTTGCTCATGATGCCTTTGCCACGCCGTGGAGTTCGGAGGAGGTTTTGTTGGGCCCGTTTCTGCAACAGGGAATCCACTGGTGCAGTCTGCGGAGTTAAACTACACAAACGTTTGAACAGTTTGCAAAGCGGGCTTGTGTGAAACAGGTGGGAAAGCTGGAAGGCGAGAGCAGCCAGGCAGATGTACCAGCAGGCTGGAGGAGGCTAGGCACGTGTGGAGATGTGCCAGTGGCTAGATGGGTCAGAAACACAAGCCCCGCGACAGGGCTCACAAAGGTGGGTCAGGTCACAGGGGCCTGATCAGCCCCGGGCAGTACGAGAAAACGATGATGGTCCTGAATCATCGCCAGCGCCTGATGGGCCCAGCTGTCTGTGATTCTTTTCCGGTTACTGTGGGGCCTCCAGAAAGCATTTGAGTGACCCCAGGAGAACCTTGTAAACTTTATGATTTCCTGATTGCCACATTATTGTAATTTTTAATAATAATAACAGCTTATGTTTATTGAGAGCTTTATTTGTGTTTGGTGCTGGGCCCAGCATTTTAGATGCCTCATCTCACTTCATCTTTATACCAGCCTGTTTCACAGAGAGGGAAAGAAACCGAGTCATTAGGTAACTTGCCCCAGGTCAGCAGCAGGCAGAGCAGAGACAGCCTCAGGGCCCTGCTCTTACCCACACGTTTTCTTTTCTTTTTTTTTTTTTGGAGACAGAGTCTCACTCTGTTGCCCAGGCTAGAGTGCCGTGGCGTCAGCCTAGCTCACAGCAAC